TATATATATATATATATATATATATATATATATAATCTGGACTAATAAAACATTAAATAATCCCACAGATGCAACAACACCGCCTATCTCCTTAGTCATTAAGCATGATGGTAAAATCTGTCTTATAACCTGTACTATATATAGCACATGTACTAATTGTTTGTTTCACAGGTTATAAACATATATAAAATTACACACCCATATAGCATACATCACCAAGTACGCTTGTTGAGTCTGTTTACAAATATATACTATTAACATGTTATAACAATCTCTTACTCAATCTAATATACAACCCAACAAATAATTATATAGATGCTCAATTTGTATCACTCAATTCATTAAAACTAAATACATAATTAACAGACATACAATCTGAATAATATCACATTAACTTCACTGGACCACTCTGGATTGAACTCAATTTTACTAGACAGTACTCAACCGACTGAACAATTGACTGATCTACAATTCCCTCTATAGTACCTGAAAAAGAGAACCTATACGGGTGTGAGCTAAACCACGCGCTCAGAGAGTATACATGTTGTATATGAAATAGAAATAATAGTAATACACATGAGTAGGTAGATACTACGTAGATACATGTATCAAACAACAACATCAAACCAATTCCAAAGAATTCACAAGCCATAATACATCCATACTACCCTTCATCGGTATTCGATCTCACATGGATCCGTGTCTCTCGAATCTTCCAGGAATACCACAGTACTTACACACTACTGCACGTCCAGTGATCAGGCATCAACGCTCATATCTCAAACAGTTTGTCACATTTCACAATACACAATACACAGTATAAAACATCATTCAATCATATAAGCACATAACACATAAATCTGGAGAATTGCTATTAAATTCTATCATTTTTTATCATCTTATAATAGCATTTTCAAAACATATAATGATATATATCTACCTCAAATGTATAGATTTACAGGCCTTCAGACCTACCAATCCCTTTCGGTGTAATTGTATATGTTTCAACACCGACTGTCCTACTTGTTCCACCTAACTCATTTATAATTACAATATCAATATATTTCTCATATTGAATAATTAATCATGTACTAATGCATGCAATATGATTCAATCCAAAGTGCCCAGGTAACCCCGGTTATCGCACTTAGAAACCCTTATCCGGGTCAGAAACCCTTTATCCAGGTCCGGATCCACGTCAATATTCAACACACCCAATCATATATTTTAATACATGTTAAAGTATCATAAATATCATATGAAAAAATTTAGAAACAAGTTTAGAAAGCATTGCCTATTCCGAAATTGAGAAACCC